CTCATATATACACCTATCCACTTACATGAATTAACGTTACCGTCCTACATACACCTACACACACACACGCGTTTTTTTACTTAAACTATTATTACACACTTTAACATCTTAAATGTTCCCCACATATATTTATATATTATCTATTGTGCAATAGTGTCTAATACACATGACGCGTGTCTAACAAATGAGAATTCCCAACAATGATAACATTCATGTCGTCTGTCCCTTTGCTTTTTCATTTCTATTCTCGATCTCTGACGAAGACTTAATAAAGCTGAAACATCTCAGATTAATATTCCTTTCTGACTTTGTCCTTCATTTCATTTTATCTTCTTGTCAGATTCCTATCCATATCTAATCTACATTTGATCTTCAACTCATAAATTTGTAAATAAACACATGTATATGTGTGCATCCTATGGCACCTTGCTTAGGGTGGAACGATTAAAATCTGTCGTCCTTTATGAGTTGGACAGACTCATTAAAGATGAAGAAGAAACTCGAGGCAACGGAGGTATGGTTCTACAGAAGGATGCTAAGGATATCATGGACCAAGCGTGTGACCAACGATCAGGTTTTGGAAAAGATACAAACAAGGAAGAAGTTTATACTTAACAGGAAGAGACAGCTGTAAATATAAAATGTAAATATAAAAGCGGACATTAAAGTCAACACCCATCGATAATAGGCATTACGACAGCGTTTAAGCATGAAACAGACTGTCGCCGCTGGGTGTTGACTTGAATGTCTACTTCTATCTATCTATCTATCTATCTATCTATCTATCTATCTATCTATCTATCTATTTATCTATCTATCTATCGCGTTTATACACGTGACGCGTGTCTGACCAATAAGAACTCCCAAAAATCATAACAGTTCAGTCGTCTGTCTCCTTCCTTTTTCATTTCTATCTTCGATCACTGACGAAGTCTTAATAAAGCTGAAACATGTTAGATTAAGATTCCTTTCCGATTTTTTCCTTCATTTCATTTTATCTTCTTGTCAGATCTGGTCTACATTTGATCTTCAAATCATAAATTTGTAAATAAACACATGTATATGTGTGCATCTTATGGGCATGGTCGCCTTAAAAAATTAAAATCTGCCCTCCTTTACGAGTTGGACGGTCTCCTCAAAGATGAAGAAGAAACTCGAGGCAACGGAGGTATTGTTCTACAGAAGGATGCTAAGGATATCATTGACCGAGCGTGTGAACAACGATGAGGTTTTGGAGAGGATGCAAACAAGGAGGAAGATTATACTTAACATCAGGAAGAGGCAGCTGAAATTTCTGGGATACGTAATGAGAAAGAAAGGCTTCGGGAATACGACACTCACATGTCAGATAGAAGGAAATAGAGACAAGGGAAAGCAGCACGTGACACACTTAGAGGAGTAATCATAACATACCAGTACATTATCCCTTTGCTTTTTCATTTCTATTCTCGATCTCTGACGAAGACTTAATAAAGCTGAAACATGTTAGGTTGAGATTCGTTTCCTGATTGGTTCTTTATTTCATTTTATCATATTGTCAGATTCCTCTCCATATTATATATATATATATATATATATATGCCTTCTTAAAAGAACATCGCTACAGTCTCGACACCGAAGTATAATGACAATTGCGTATGTACAAATCCTTGAAAGCATGGATGTGTATCTGCGCCTAATCTCGGATTGTTTATATGGGTGTGTTTGTGTGAACCTAAATGCGTACACGTGTATGTATGTGTGTCTGTATGTTTGAAAGGGTCATGCTAAACGAACATGGGATTTCCCCACCCACCATCAAAAATAATCAAATGCAAACAAGCATAAACAGATTCAATTTTAAATAAAATAAACCAGTTTGGTTGATGATCGCAAAAGCGTGAAACTCAGGGTCACAAACTCATATCCATACAAATGAATATATATATATATATATATATATATATATATATATATATATATATATATATATATAGTGGACTCTTCCGTCGTATTCGACATATGAAGGTCAAGCAGCTCAGTTTCTAGGAATTGATCGCCCAGACAACAGCACATGAGAATTTATTATAGTGTTGAAGGTTTCGTGCAGGACCATCCACACTTTTTGAAGGGCCGAATACAGAGACCTGGTGCACTACGTGCCACAAGGTCCCCAAACAACCCTCCGCAGGTTTTGAATTCAGAGTTGTCCTTCTCCTAGACCTGTTGCCATCCAAGGCTATAGAACCCAGTTTGTCCTGCTATTTACCCATAGCTGGAAGTAGAAGAAGAGGATTAATACCTTTCCCAAGGGTATTGACACGTAAGTGGATTCAACTAGAATTCGAACTCGCCTCTCCGATTCCTCAATCCGAGCATCTATCCACTACTCCACCGTGCCTCTGTATATATAACTGCGTATGTATGCATGCCTGAATGCACGGATATGTATCTGCGTCTAGCCTCGAATTGCTTATAAGGATGTGTTGTTACGAACTAAAATGCGTACACCTGTATGTATGCGTCTATGTGTATGATAGTGTCACCCCAAACAAACACAGAAGTAGATTCACCCTCCCGCCACCAAACAAGCATAAATAAATCCAATTTAAAAAATAAACCAGTTTGTCTGATGATCGCAAAAGCTTGAAACCCAGGGTCACAAACTCATATTTATACAACTTATTATGCTAGCTCTATCACTGATATTGATCGCTTTCCACTAAGCACCACGCATATATATATATATATATATATATATATATATATATATATATATATATATATATATATATATATATATATTCCCGTTCCCATGTAATAAGCTTTCATGCATAATACGCACCCCAAAACTTGTGCTGAAAGTGTGGGAAAATGCTTCTACTCACGCATAATACGCACCCCTATTTTGGTAATCGAACCCTATAAATTGTACCTCTTTATTTTCATTAAGGCCAACGTTTCCTCCTCTTATTAAAAATTGTTTTAAACGTAGAATAATATTATTCTAATTTAGTTTTATGATAATTCTTATTTTATTTTACACTTGTAACTATTGTTAGGTACATATGATTATATTTGACATCCTTATCGGGTCGAAATCGCCGAATGTTAGTGTCAAATTGTCGCAACTGAAATCGACCTATGAAAAGGCAATTTTTAAAAGAATTTTTGTAGCTGTGCATAATACACACTCCTAATTTTGCTTATTATTGTTTAGAAAAAAATGCGTATTATACATGGAGAATTACGGTATATATATATATATATATATATATATATATATATATATATATATAAATATATATATAATCTTAATTTCCAAACACGAACAGTAAATTGCGGACACTTTCTTAATTAATGTTGTTATGGGTTGGCTACATGTTTTTTCGAGTTATGTCTTCCGTCGCTTTGAAAAGCTTTAATGTAGCATCGGCATATATCATTTATTGCAGCAAATAATAATCTTTGAAAATGGCTAACAGTTTAACCGAAAGCGCACGGTACTAACAAACATTAAGACAATTTTTACATTCATTAAGTTCAGAAAAGAAGACAATTGCATGTATACAAGAAAAACATACTAAGATACATGAAAATTACGTTATCAGTATAAGTCTAAGAAGAAACATTTGGATTACTACTACACAAAAAAGATAATGGTTAAACATCGAAAAACATAAGGAAAATTAATTCTTTTTCATAATATGTGGAAATATCCACTCTTTGCCTGATGAAGAACGCGAGACCGGAAACGTCTGTAAGAGAAAATGGAAAATAACGTAGAATATATTTTTTTAAAAATGCATATTATAACTAGAAACATTTGCGGTTTCTCTTTTCTTTTTTATATATATATATATATATATATATATATATATATATATATATATATATAAAAGAAATATGTTGTAGTGGTTCCAACGAGAGAGAAGTATGTATATTAAAAAGAAAGGTGGTGCCGCAAACGTTTTTTTGGGTTGTAATGTGGATTTATTGAGAAAAAAATATTATACTTTGTTTTACATAATTTCACGACACGTGTTTCTGGTCTCGCAAACCGTCTTCAGGTGAAAGTGGAGATTTCTACATATTATTAAAAATAATTAATTTTTCTTCATGTTCAATGTGGAATATTCTCGATATGAGACATTCTGTTTGTGTGTTGGCAATCCGAATTTTCTTTCTAGATGAAGAAAAGTTAATTATTTTTAATAATATGTAGAAATCTCCACTTTCACCTGAAGACGGTTGCGAGACCAGAAACACGTGTCGTGAAATTATGTAAAACAAAGTATAATATTTTTTCTCAATAAATCCACATTACAACCAAAAACGTTTGCGGCACCACCCTTCTTTTTAATATATATATATATATATATATATATATGTGTGTGTGTGAATGGTAATACTTGTTTTTGAAAAATCTCGGTTAGCTCAACTTGTAATATAAGAAATTGATGCCCGAGAAAAAAATTGGAAATAAAAAAAGAAAGAACCAAGAACATAAGACTGTACGAATCCTTTTGTCAAGTGTTTGAGCTCCAAGTTCAAAGAAAAAACACCTAAAACGATTAAAGATTAAACGTAAAGTGATCAATACACTAAGTAGAGCAAAAACTTAGTTTTATATATATATATATATATATATATATAAATATATAAATATATATATGACTTTTAAATATCAATTTTTTAATATTTAAATATATAATTTTTATTCTTTATATATATATATATATATATATATATATATATATATATATATATATATAAAAGAATAAATGATTGGTATTCTGCCTACGCAAAAAAAAAAAAAAAAAAAAAAACAAAACATCTGTGTACCTCTGTGCTATTTATATGAAGACTGTTTGTCGAAACACAGTGTGGGACATATTTCGCGTCCAATGGTATTTCTGAATTTATTTTACAGATAGAAAGAAAGAGAATAATAAAAGATATAACTGGATGAAGGCAAACACTTAAAAAAGCGGGATAAAAAGGTAATCAAAAGAGAAATACTAGAAAAAGAGAGAGAGAGAGAGAGAGAGAGAGAGAGAGGCAGAAGTAGACTGAGAGAAGAAGAGAGGTAGAGAGGAATATAGAAAAAGAAGAAGAATTAATAAAAATAAACTAAAGGAGAAAAAGAGGACAGAAAGAAGAAAAATATGATTAAAAATAAAAGACGCAAAAAAAAAAAAATAGAAAAAAAGAAGTAAAAGTGAAAAGAGAAACAGATGACAAGTTTGTGAACGAAAAAGAAGAAAGCAGAGAAAATGGCGTCGTAACTCAGCAAGATCTGTTTGAGCCGTTGTTGTCTGGCTTTCGCTACGGCCAACAGGAGGCGCTGGTGTCACGAAATAGTGAATTAACCAGCAAATGCAGAGTCGGCTTTCGTATCTTAATTACTGTAAGTCTTAATTCCTTTCTGATTACTATGTCCTTTTGATCACACGCTGCCATGTAATATTCATGGTGTTAGCCAAAAGAAAGTCCATCCCGAAGTAGATATATAATAAAACACAGACAGACATATAGGAAGGGCCTATGAAATCGAACTTATCTGCATGGGTGTATAAATCTTCTTATATACAATATATATGTAAGTCAAGAGTGGGCCTGTTTATGTCTGTAATGTGGGCGTTGAAGAACATCATCGATATATATATATATACACACGCACGCACCTATATATATATATATATAATATGATGGATAATACTTATTTTTATTACACACAGAAACATATATATATATATATATATATATATATATTATGAAATGGACAAAGTCCGACAATTATTTTAAGACATTTTTGTTGATACATTCTTTTTATAGATACAAATATTTAAGTAAATGTTCTTTTTTTTTATATATAATTAACAGTATTAAACAACATTTACCGGCATGAATATCCGAGAAATTTTCACAGAAAATTTTCGTCCTCCGACAGGAATCGAACCTGTATCTTGTACGGAACTGTCATAAAGCCTGACGCGCCTTTAACCATTTGGGCCACAGAGGAGCGTTCGGTTAACAAGGTCGATTTTACTGTCTTTATGATATAAAAAAAAATACAGATTTTACTTAAATATTTGAATCTATAAAAAAATATATATATATATATATATATATATATATATATATATATATATATAAATATATATATAATATATATATATATATATATATATATATATATATATATATATATATATATATATATATATATATATATATAAATGTAAATAAAGTGTAAATGGACACAAATCAAGAATGAAATTTGAAAAAAAAAAAAAAATCCCCAAATGTAGCTAAAATGAAATGATTTCTTTCATTTTAGCTACATTTGGGATTTTTGTTTGTTTTTTTCAAAATTTTCATATATATATATATATATATATATATATATATATATATATATATATATATATATATATATATATATATAGGGATAATACTTATATTTATTACACACACATACATATATATATACATACACACGCACTCGCATATATAAATATATATATATATATAAATTATATGAGAGATAATACTTATATTTATTACACACGTTCTGTTACACACACACACACACATATATATATATATATATATTATCGCTTTAGATGTTATTTTTAGCGGATACTTATATTTGAGTAGAGGCTCCATTTATTTATTAAATAGTATATTTATTTATTTTCTTTAATAAGATTTCTTTATATATATATATATATATATATATATATATATATATATATATATTTTTAAGACATTTATTTATGTTTATACGTTCATTTTATAGATACAAATATTTAAGTAAATGCTCTGTTTATAATAAAGTATTAATAACATTTACCGGCCTGAGTGTCCCACAAACTTTCATAGAAAATATGCGTCTTCCGACAGGAATCGAACCTGTATCCTATACAGAACCATCATATAGACTGACGTGCCTTAACCAATTCGGCTACAGAGGAGTGTTCCGTTCGCAATGTCGATTTTACTGTTTTTATACATATTTGTCCATGATTTTCTCCCATTCATTCATATCTGCTCAATCAGTATCCAAATGCAAACAAATGACGTCCTTGCTTATCGATAATAGATAACTGTAACAAGAAGAGAAAATAATATTTTAATCATGTGCTGCTTACTCAATGCTGTAGATCGACGGCTGGAAAAATTACCATAAAGAGCATCTAAAATTTAGAAGAAACTAAATACTTGTCAAAAATTAATACTAATGGTTGACAAGGTTTTATCGAATAAAATAAATTAAAAATATAACTTCTACTATTTATTATATTAGCGTAAAAACAAAAGCATATTTGAATCAGAAAGAGCATGGAATAAATGCTGCGTTCATAGGTTAGATTTAATCTCCTTCAAAAAGATTGAGTTTTTGTTGCCTAGTTAGTAAGAACAGTAGTTGCTTTAACCAGACTGGCTGATGAAAAAAAAAATCGATATGTGTTCGATCTACACCCGAGCCCTAGACATAAAGGTTTAGCAGTCTGCATTTTGTGTTTATTTTTGTAGAGTGACCCCCGGAGGAAAGATGAAGAAATAGAATATAAAGACAATTAAAGGGTAAATGAAGTACTTTTCTTTAGTTTTTTTTTTGTCCCCTTGTTGATGTTTTATAAAAAAATATATGAGATTCATGTTTTCGAAAAACTCTGCCGATACAATTAATGCTTTTCTATGGAAACAGAAAAAAAAGGCACTTGTTATTCATTGGAATTCAGTTATAGTCTAGCGATATCAACATATTAAAAAACATGGCTTCAAAAATAAAACATCATGGTTGGGACAGCGATGGAGATTGGTAAATCAAATGTTAAAATATGGAGAGATAATTAAGTTTAAGTTAAGTTTAAAAACATCTGGTTCTATATTATTATACATTCCTCTCATAAAATGAATGCTATTTGTTTTTGGTCTATTATTCTTCTGTAAACAGTTTGATTTGATTTTAAATATTATAAATATTTTTCTTATGATTTTAAGTACACATCATTTTTTCTGTTCGTTTGTACTTAATTTCAGAAATGAGACCTATAAACTTCCGCGTCTTATAAGATGTATAAAAGACTTTATTTTAAGAAATTAATCTTTTCGAAAAAGAAAAGGAAGATGAAATTTTATGATTCTCAAAATTAATGGCAGTAATAATTTTAGACAAATGATACAGCTCAGCTCAATTGCATCGTCATAGATTTCGTCCGTCAAGAAGAAAAAGATAGTTTCCTTTTTAATTCTCAATTCCAGTTGAAAAGGTTGAAACAAAAACCTGTCCGAGTGATGAGTGGGCGCTTGCTTAATTTCGCTCACCGTAAACACTGCCTTCTACAAGACATTGTTTAATCTTAGCAAACCGAAAATAATATTAAATAAAGTTCAACATGAAAAATAGTTCTAAGTAAATTAGTGAAAACGTCGAATCTGGGCCAGGTTTTATCTTACTGAAAGTGGTCACAAATTTCAACATCCTATAGTACTATAGTATTATATATAGTATTATAGAATTATATCAATTCAAGGCTAATACATAAAATAATTTGAACTCCTTTCGTCTATTCTATCCCAGCCGCCATATTCACCTGACCTTGCACCAGTCGATTATTACTATTTTCGATCGCTGTAAAACGTTTTGATGAAGGAAACTTTGTCTAATGAAAACAAGATTCAAGACTTCGTCTAAAAGAGTTTTTCACATCATAGCCTGCGGAATCTTTACTCTAACGGTATGGAAGAGATTGAAACGGCAATAAGTTACTGCAAGTAATGGTGAATATATTATTGAATAAAATGAGATTGTTCTTTTTTTTTTAAGAATAAATTTGATGAACAGAAACAGAAATTATGACTCAAGCTCAAATAATGATTACTCTATCGCTAATAGTCGCTACAACATAACTAGATACAACGGACGTATATCCTTGTGACAGGTTACTCGGATATTAGGCCGACGGATATTTAACCGAATGGACATTTAGCCGAAAATTCAGTGGTATACTTACATGTACGTCACACTCTTTATTGTAATATACTACATATATTTATATTTATTTACTGTATTAATTTATAATTTTTCACTGTTTTTCACGGACTTTTTTAAAAAAATCTATTCTGTATATATTATATTTTACTTCAAATATTATTGTAAGATGATAAGTATTTTGAGAAAAAAACACATTTTACTACAGTACAAATCTTAAGCTTTTACGCTATGAAAGATCTTTCAATTTCGCTTTTAATGATCATTAACTTAAAGGGATGAACTAGCTTTTATCTTACTGTTAAATACAAATTTAAATAATTAGGTGCTACTTTTTATCCAAATACACTCAAATATTTTTAAAAATTTGAATTTCAATAAACAAATATTGAAATAAGAAAACTTTAAATTTAGATTTAGTAATTTAATCACTTGAAATTCAATAGTAATTATTAGTCCTATTCTACCTTATAATACTGCTAATTAAAATACTTAAAGTATTGCTTGGTACTATTTTTACTTGTAGTTTTTTTGGTGAAATGTCCGTTCGGTCAAATGTCCTGCCACATTGTGACAGATTTTGTTAAGCTTAACAGACATAGAAAGCTACATCACTCTTGATGTTAATAATTAGGTTGGAGTCATTATTTTTTTGACTCACATGAGAGTATTTCCCAATAAGCTTGTTACTACAGAACTCTTTCTATTAAGCTTTATATTTTCGAGGGCCAAATAAGACAAAAAACAGTGTATTTCTGCCATATCTTCTTTCCTACAGACGCAACGTCGCAAGCCTATCTCTCAACTCTATCGCTATTTCCATGGCAATTGTTCAAATGATCTCTATTCTTTATCCCACCAGTTGAGATCAGGACACGTCATGCTACCCACACGAAATCGAATTACTTAGATTTCCTGCGAATTTCAAATGTAAAGAGAAGATTGCACTTAGCTTTCTTTCCCATGATCTGGAACTTTCTGGAACAGGATTCCGCGTGTAGTGTAGGGTAGGGTAATTTGGGTCAGTGAGGTAATTTGGGTCAGTGAGGTAATTTGGGTCAGTGAGGTAATTTGGGTCACTTTTAATTCTGGTAGATTTCTCCTGAGTCACATGGTTTCATAGCAAGCTGCCACCTTTATGGATTACATCAGCCTTGTGATAAAACTGCAACTATTGCATCATCCTTTTTGTTCTTTGATGCCAGAGAGGAAGGCCTTATTTTGACTCAGCTATGTTTATTTTTTTACTCGTAAATCGAACTTTCTCTTGAAAATCCAGAATAGTCAGAAATCAGGTTCAGATACCAATTCTGCATGGAGAAATTATCAAAGTATCCAAAAGTATACAAATCAGTTGAGTGGTATTGGATGAAATGGAAAAAAAACCCTGTAAATTTAGTCTGGTGGGGTAATTTGGGTCACCTTACTATTTAAGAAATTGTGTGAACTAGTGTTTAGGTTTAGATGTAGCTAAAATCATATCAGTAGACTGAAATTTAGTGATTTGAGATTAATTTTGGGTTGTTAAACCTGAAAATACTGCCCAGTTGATGATACAGGTCCCTTTTTACTATTTTATTATTTTTTGAGCACTACACTCTTCAATTTATTTACAATTTAGTTACAATGTCAATTATCATCTATCTTCCTCATCTTTTATAATCTTCATAATACATCCCTTTTCATTTATTTCACACACCACATTTAGTAACCCGCTACCTTAGATGGCTGTCGAGCCTTTTATCGAGTGAACTTTAGTAAAAAGCAAACATCAAGCGATGAGAATCATATCGATGTTGGTTAAGAAACTAGAAAGATTTAACAAACCAGTTGTTAAAATGAGAAAGATTTAAATAAATTCGAGTCTTGTTATGTTGACAAGAGCGAATAAAATAAAGTTGAACAGAGTTTTTGTTTTCCTCTCATTCTTCGACTCTTTATTTTAAAAATAAAAATCTTTCCAAATAACGGAAGTGAAAGAAAAAGGACATCTTATAATCAAACAATTACGTTTAATGACGAAGTTTTAAAAATAATTTTCATCTTTATCTGTAGTTAAAAGTTTGCTCGTTCCCAAAATATTTATTATCAAATAGAATCCAAATTTGACGCCGAAAAACAGATAGATAAATAAACAGATAGATAGGTAAAAGACAGATTGAGATATATATAGATATGAACATACTAAGATAGCGAGACGTAGAACTGATTACAAATAGATAGATATGAAGAGACTGAGATAGATAAATAAAGAACGGATTGATATAAATAGAAATGAATTATATATATATATATATATATATATATATATATATATATATAAATCAAATACGTATTTTAGATAGATAGATAGATGGATAGATAGATAAAAACAGACTGAAATAGATATGAACAGTCATAGGTAGATATCAGACACATAGATAGATAAAGAAACGATTGATTTAAATAAATATGAAGAAAACAGTAAATATATATATATATATATATATATATATATAAGACTGACTGGTAGATATCAAGTGGCGTAGATAGATAGATAGATAGATAGATAGATAGATAGATAGATAGATATGAAAAGTCAGATAGATAGATAGATAGATAGATAGATAGATAGATAGATAGATAGATACCCCGGAAGAGAGAGGGGGAAAGAGAGAGTGAGTGAATGATAGAGAGTAGTAGAAGACATAGAGAGCGATGGGGGAGAATAAAAATAAAATGCCAAGACAAGTGCGCGATCTTATGTCATTAAAGCAAATATAAAAGTTTCAAATAGGCGAGTAATTATGAAAACCCTTGACAGAAGAGAAGAACAAAAAGAAATGCTTTGGCGCCATTTTTGTGGAAAATGCGATGAAATTAGATTCAAGGGTTTCGCGGAAAATTGTGTAGAAATAATTAACAATTATTTTGGCAAATAAGGAAAAATAATTTAGAATAAAGAAAATTAAAGATGTGATCAGTATTTTGGAAATATCAACAAAGTAAACGCGATTTCCACTCAGTGGAAACGTTTTTATCCGTTTTGTATTGAGTTTATTCATGAAATCACAAAGAGTAAAACGCGGTAAAAGATTGCAGAAACTATGAAAAGAAAGTCGTGTACTTCCCGCTTGAAAATTTACACAAATATAAATGTGCGCATTAATACAAAAACACTGGTCAATACACAGACATTGAGACTGAAATAAAATGGATATTCGCCTCATACTACAACTTACAGGCAACATCTGATTAACACGGGTTCAAATAAAAATTAAGTCGAAATTAGAAATGTATACGAAATTGTTGTTAGTATGAGTTAATGTTCTATTAATACGATTCGATTTTCTTTTAGCCTGGTTTGGTGTATTTTGTTTTACGGCATATCAACACCTCAGTGTGTTATTTAATTCCGACAAGACATTTAGGATAGGTTTGGATGAATAGAATATGTATTTAGGAGAAATCAGTTTGTAGATCAAGTTTCATTGACGTATTTTTTGTAAAGAGAGTTCTTGTAGAGAGTCTCATTTGGTTTGGTTTATTTTGTTTTACGGCATAACAACCTCAATGAGTTATTTAATGCCGATAATATTTTATGTATTCTTTGCATGAAATCAGTTTGTAGATCAGGTCTAATTGACGTATTTTTGTAAAGAGGGTTTTTGTCAAGGATCAAATGTATTGATATTGGTATTATTCTTGTTTTTCAAAAATGTATTGCTGGTAATATGTTTTTTTTTTCAAAAATATATTACTGTGTGTAATCGCATAAGAAATATCCGAAAACTAATTCCATTATACTGAATGATATTTTCTCTATAAATGATCACGATGCATGCTATCAAGTCACAATCATGTTTTCAAATCTCACAGCGGTAGGTTGAATGATATTTTCTCTGTTCTAAAATACCTAAATACGTTCCATCAGGTCATTCTATAAATAATGTCTGAAATTTCACACCAATTACTTGGAAATGTTTAATTGATAACAATATATTTTATCAGGTTATCCTATAATGTCAGCAATCTGATAGCGATAAATAAAATATGATATTCAATTGAATTGAATGGTTTTTGCTATTTTCAAATGCCTAAGTGATAACGACACGTGCTATCATGTCATTCTATAAATAATATACCGAATGTAACACCACCCTGGGTAAGACGATAAACTACATCCGTGTCCTGGGTAAGACGATAAACTACATCTGCATCCTGGGTGAGACGATAAACTACATCCGCGTCTTGGGTATGATGATAAACTACATCTGCGTCCTGGGTAAGACGATAGACTATATCCGCGCCCTGGGTAAGACGATAAACTACATCCATGTTCTGGGTAGGCGGATAAACTACATCCAACGTCAAGGTCTTTAATCAGGAGCTTTTGAGGAGCGTAAAACCACCTCTCAATTGCTGGTGTTCCCAGGTCCACCCTGAGTCGGGGTGGTAGCACCTGTTAGGGTCCCAGCTATGGGCGAATAGTTAACCCCCGAAATGGCGTCAAAACACTTTGAAAGTGTAAAAATTGATTTTAATACTAGCAATACCTCTTTGTAAAAAAAATAATAGCTATAAGTTTTTGAAGCAATTATTATAGCAATATATTATTACCAGTAATACATTTTGAAAAAATATTAACAACGATACATTTTTGAAAAAATTATTACCGGCAATAAAAATCTTGTCGGCATTAAATAACCCATTGAGGTGTTGATATGCCGTAAAAGAAAAACCAAACCAACCCACTGTGTCAAAATTAGATTGAATGATAGTGTTACTATTGGAAAATAACCAAATGATAACTGTATTTCTTAGTACATTTTAAACGAGTCACATTATCTCAATAAATTTCAACTGACATATTAACTTTCCCCTCCTCACGATGGATGTGTTTATGGAACACATAAGATGTGTACTGGTCTTCGAATTTAGAAAACATAATAATATTACTGATTTCCACTCAGTGAAAATGTTTTTATCCGTTTTGTATTGTGTTTATTCATAAAATCACAGAGAGTAAAACGCGGTAAAAGACTGCAGAAACTATGAAATGAAAGTCATATACTTCCCGCTTGAAAATTAATACAATCATAAATGTTTCCATTAATATAAAAACGCTGGTCTATACACACACATTGAAACTGAAATGAAATGGGTGTCGTGTCCACTAAAATATCAAATACAACATTTATAAACCAATGACACTCAAGAAAACACATCTTAAAACCCACCAATAAAATCATAGAATACAAATCAGAATGTTTTGTTGTATTAGTCATCATTATTTTTAGGTAGATACCGACTAAATACCGTACGGACGTAGTAGAAGACATACCACGTGTCCTTTTAGGGACAATTAGGAATAAATAAATAGTTTAATTCTGTAGTCGATTTTGTTCGGAAAAAGTGTATAAAAACATACGAAATCCGTTCCCAAACAATATAGACGCGGCTGTCACCGAACTACACTCACCTCTCGCTGATGACCTTCATGACCTCATGTTAAAAACGACAATGTTGACAAACTTCAGACCACGGCAACACTGCCAACAGTAAGAAACAATTCCTATCGCTCGTATCCATTTTTACTGTGAATCACGCACATGACTTTTTCATACAAACACACATATAACAACATTTTATTGTTTCTCATACGTCCACAAAGACAGTTTATATTTTACTAGCAGTAGAGCCCGGCGTTGCCAGGGGATATAACAGTAAGAGATAGATATCACGTATCGACCATCATAAAGACTGAAAAAATAAAATTGACAAAGATTATTGTTTAAGGTTGACGTACACGCGTGTCTTAATTAGTTTTTTTTTTTTACGAATTGGTCAAACCCAAACTCAAACAAAAACATTGTTTTCAATCGTTATAAGTCTCCCGATTGAATAGAATTTTATTATAAACAATTGTCTTGTAAATGGAATTTTTAAAGCATTCTCAATGTAAAAATAAAGAAAAAAGTGTGCAAGACAATAAGAAACACTACATGCCAAAAAAAAAAAAAGTGAAGTTTTGTTGAAATCGGTTGAAAAATGTAGGTAGCCATTCTGTAATCTTTTAGTTTTACAATTTATGATTTTACTTATTGAATACAGTAAAAAAAATTGCATATTTTGCTTGTGGTGATTCATAATTAGAATTCTGATTTGAATATATTTTCCACTCGTTGTTTCTAATACAAAAAATATTAACTTTATTTGGGTTTATTAATTATGATCTAACAAATCTTATTCATTTAGTAGCCTTACTGTAATAATAATCTTTTACAATTTATGATTTTTACTTATTGAATACAGAAAAAAAAAATTGGTACCATGTGTATTTAAACTAAAGTAGTTTCCGGTTATTATTTTTAGTTAGGAGAACTTGTGTATGTTTAGATTTCATTAACTTTCCCTAAAGATAAAGAATTATCCGATGTTTGGATTCGTACAATCAGTAGAGATCGTTAGATTATTGTTTAAGGTTGACGGCCACGCATGTCTTAATTAGTTTTTTTTTTTTTTTACGAATTGGTCAAACCCAAACTCAAACAAAAACATTGTTTTCAATCGTTATGAGTCTTCCGATTGAATAGAATTTTATTATAAACAATTGTCTTGTAAATGGAATTTTTAAAGCATTCTGAATATTAAAAATAAAGAAAAAAGTGTGCAAGAGAATAAGAAACACTACCTGCACCCCCCAAGTGAATTTTTGTTTTATCGGCTGAAAAATGTAGGAAATCCGATCCCATATTTAAAGGAACCCACACACACAAACAACCCAATGTGAGTTGTCCCCCTTTCATTCTCACGATGTCTCTTAATCGTGTTTTCAAATTGATTTTGTACAAAAACAATTGTATTTTTCCCATTTTTGGCGCAGTTAGAACCACCACAAGGTAATTTTATGTAGTCCTGTGAAGTTTTGTTGAAATCGGTTGAAAAATGTAGGAAATCCGATCCAATATATAAACGTTACACACACAATCTGCGTTTTATAACAAGTAAGATTTCAGAACTTTATTAACCCAAACAAAAAGACATTACTTTCCAATCTATTATCAACTGTTTGTATTCTTGTCGTTATATTAAATAATTTTTTATTTGTTGAAACTACGCTGTCTTTTCTACTGAATTTTATTCTTTCAATGAAAATCGTGTGATTATTCTAGACGGCCAAATTACGAACCACCCTGTAACGATATTTTGTTAATGTATCGAATTCCGACACTCCAAATTTTAACATTCAACGAAAAACCGAGTAGAAGGATTCCTACAAGGGGACTGGTCTGCAAATTTATAAAACACAACAATATTACTGATACAACTCAAAATAATAACGGTGTTTATTGGATATAATTTTTAGAAGAAAATGCCGAAGATTGAAAAATTTAAAATGACGATAGCTGACGAGGTAGAATATTATTGATACAAAACAAAACAGTAACTGTGTTCATTGAACATATATTTTTGAAGAGATTCCCAAATATAGTTTGAAAGATTTACAAGAAAGTGACGACAGCTGACGGGATACACCAAACGATGGTGAGTTTAACCAAAACAAAACATATAGGACCTCATGAGGATCAATGGTGTTGCCGTTGAAGAATTAGTTCAAATTTTGAATTCAAATCATTTAACGCTACACTGTAATATGCTTCAAATAGGAAAGCGTGTGAACTTGAAAAATGGGTTCTCTATGAGTTGACAGAAGCATGTCGCCATTTTTGGACAGATTAGTGACTGGTGATGAAAAATGGATATTTTATGAGGACATAAAGCAATGTAGACATTGGATTTGTTCAGTTGAACAGGCTAATGCATAAACCAATATGAACCTCCGTCCACAGAAAGT